TGATTTATTTTCCTAATTAATCCTACAGTTTCCTTATTTGACTCACACTTGAACGTACAAACATACAATGAATTTTCCATCATGAGAAGCCAGATGATGTCAGATACACCCCTGGAAAATGTCAGCTTTCATCTGAAAAGAGTAGCCAAGACCTTTTTAATATATTCTGTAAATATTTTCACAAAACGTTCCTCCATACCTTCTCCTTTTTTCATGTCTCTATGTCAAAGTGAAGTTTAATTTTCGTGACAGTGTGAAGTTAATTTTTTGAATGTGAATTCCTCTTCATTCATAAAGCCTGTCAATTCACCTCATTACGGAAACGTCAGTATGAATGCATTAATCTGATCAGAAAATGACAAAAACGAGCAAACATTAATTATTTAGGAAGCTTTTTGCTCAGTTTTAACAAACCTTACGGGGGGTGGAATCTGGAAAAAGAAAGACTTTCCTGCATTAGAAGAGATGCTGAAATTAAAAGACACGAGGAAACCACTTAAATTTCTGTCTTTATTACAATTCACAGATTGGATAGAAGTTTAAGCTCATTTAAATAGAGTTTATCTAAAGGATACAAAAGACACATACAAGATGATAGCAATGCATTCCAGTGCATCTTTCAAAGAAAATTAAAAAAAATTAAATCCTGGGATGTTTCCTGAAGCTAGAGTTAATTTAGCCTAATATCACTGATCAGCTGACTTCACATCTGAAAATCTGAACTAGTGACAGTTTGTACAGGAAAGAGAGACACATCTTAATGCAGGAGAGTCTCGATAAACTGTTCCCGTGGTTCATTTACCTCCTTTACTTCACTTAGCCTGTTCCTGTGGATTTCTGTGAGCAGATTATTGACGTCAAAGCTACATCCTGTGGTGTTTCTGCATATTAGCAAGCCAATTTGTACTGTGTGAGCAGCTAGAATCAGAGAGGAATGTGATGCTATTCCTCTTGAAAAATTCCAGCAGCCGCTCTCCTCAGTGCCCAGATGTTTACAGACTGTTGTTCAAAGAAGAGGAGATGCTGCACAGAGGGAAATGTGGCCCTTTTTAGAGACGTGTTACCGCGTTTTCAGTGTTTTACTGTGAATAAAATACGGTTTCATGTTATTTTAAGACATAATTAGTACAATAATAATGGAAACAAATTAGAATTACTGGGTATGTTTTGTTGTTTCTTATGAGCGACTGCACTGAGTGCAAAGGCAGTGCACTTCAACACATCCACTGGAAGCTGCCCAGTATAACCGCAGTGTGACAGGCATCAAAGCAATAACCTTCGAGCCACACTCGCACTTCATAACATGGTTTAAAGCTCCCAGAAGTGCAGAAATAACGGGTAAAATTAAGGTTAAAACAGCATTAAATGTTACAGAAGGAACAACACACTAAAACACTCTTTTGTCCTACATTTGTGTTTTAAAGGCAGATGACAGCACTTAGAACACCACATATTTACTCATTGTTAAACCACAGAACCACTAGAGAAGGGGAGAGCCTCCGGACGGCCCCTCGCTCTTCACTTTAGTCCAGTTCAAGACCTCAAAATGTCCAGAACCCAGGAGATTAATCAGAGCCCTGGCCATTATCCACCTCGAAAACCCAAGAACGTAAGTCCTTAAAAGTGATTCTGGAGTTTTAATAAACTTTGACAGGATGTTCATTTCGCTCTCGGTCTTTCAGAGAGGTAATGTGGCCCCTAAATCTGACAAATGTCCTCATAAATCAGTCGATCCAACATGAAGTCAATTAAATTCAGTCGGTCCAAAGTTAGACGCACAAAAGAAACAATGATAATGTCATGAATTACGTCACTTTAAGGCAGCTGTTCGGGGAACAGATTAAAATCTGCAAACGAGGGAACAATTTATCACAAACTTCTCTCCTGTAAGACGACACTGACATCGTCGCTCAGCGCGAGACAAAGAGCCGAAGGACGACGGCGTCTGCTCAGTAAAACTAAAAATCGACCTGTGGAGAAGACACAAGAAGGAAAAGTACCCAAGTGGTACAACAGAGTACATCAGAGTACTACAAAATACATCAGAGTACTGCAAAGTATCTCAGATTAGTCCATAATATCTCAGAGTCCCTCTGAGGGACGGTTCTCTGATTATTTTTCAATACTCTCTGCAGTACCCTGATTACCCCAGTGTTCTGAGGCACACTGTAGTAGTACTGCATAGTACTGTGGAATACCTCACAGTACTGCGAAGTATTTAAGAGTACTGCAGAGTAAGACCAATGCAGAGTAATCAGGGGACTGTTAAGTACTTCAAAGTACTGTGGAGTGTACCTCAAAGTATTAAAAAAAACAAAAACCCTCAAAGTACTCCATGGTACCTCAGGAGACTGTGGAATACCTCAAAGCATTTTACAGTCTTCTGAGGAATTCAGAGTACTGTGGAATATTTTTGAGTACTCTAGACTATTTTAATGT